TTGCTGACCACTCTGAAATGGAAATATTCTGAACAGGAGGCTGAATGAAAAAAACCTGTAGGAGGCGCTGTTCCCCAGAAGAATGTTAACATTGCCCCAGTCTGAACTGCCCTGATAACAGTTTTGGTTGCCTCATTTTTTGAGCACTCTTCAAAGGATTCCATCTCTCTTGGTTTTTTATATTTCCAACTGCCTCAGGAGGGCACCAGTCGCTTCTGCCAACATGTAATAAATCTGGCCTGCCTCTTGCCTTTTGATAGTTAATCCAGTTTAGGTTAAAGGATCTCCAGGTGTGTCCGTCCTACCTTAACATAGGAGAAATGTAATCCAGTTTACTAAGTGCATATAGGTCCTGGGTGCTTTTCTGGCTTAAAACTATTCCTGAATTGATGTCACCACTCAGATAACTCAAATTCCTAATCACACAGGTTTGCCTATGATTCTTAATTCCTACAATGCTTCTGGAAGTCCATTTCATATTTTATAGCTACTCAGGTCAAAACTAATAGCAGGGTTCTGAGTATTAGCTCTCTGAAGCTAGTGACTCTTCATCTTTCTACTCCCAGGGGCTAGCATAGTGATTCACTATATAAGAACTTATAAGTATATATATATAGAGAGAGAGAGAGATCACTCTATAAGAATTCACCTGTAATTCTCACATAGTAAGATGATGAATGAATGGAGGGCTACATGAATAAACCCAAAACTTTGGGATATCAAACTTGACTTGGAGAATAGGAAGCACAGCGTAGCTAAATAAGCAATTAGTTTTAAGAAATAAATTCATTAATAAATGTAAGGACAACCAATGTTCTGTTCTCCTATAGCACTTAAAAAAATGGAAATATAATTCACATTCCATAAAATTCACCATTTTAAAGTGTACGATTCAGTGGTTTTTAGTATATTCACAGATTTGTACAACCATCACTACTATCCAATTCCAACATGTTTCATTAACCCCAGAAGAGACCATGCACCTGCTAGCAGTCACTCCCCATTCCTGCCTGCCCCCAACCCCTGGCTACAACTAATCTGCTTTCTTGTCTCTGTGGATTTGCCTATCCTGGAAATTTCCTGTAAATGGAATTGTATACTATGCGGCCTTTTGAATCTGGCTTCTTTCACTTGTAACCTTGATGTAACTTTGACCATCAGTCTGTTAACATTTGTTTTGCTGTGTTGTGACTATTTGTTGACCTCCCTGTCTCCCACTGGACTATTAAATATCACAAGGACAGAAACCATGCCTTGTTTATTTCAACATTTCTAATGCAGAGTTCAGGACCTGGCACAGAGTGGACACTTAGTAAAGGTTTGCTTTTTCTATTCTGGTGAATCTGGTTGTTCGGGGCTTGGGTATTCCTCTCTGCACATATGCATAACATTGCATAACAATGCAATATGCATACATTATATGTATAACAAAATGAAAAGCCCCTTACTTGGTCTAGATTGAGAGGAAGGAGGTAGATCCTCGTGGCATGACGTAGCTTACCCTGGGAAAGGTAAACATTTTCCTCATTTGGGCTGCTGCAGACTTGCTTGACAGCTAAATTAAAACAAGTGAGGCTGAGCAGGACCATTAATACTCTATCACTTATGTGGATATATTTCAACTATATTAATTCAAATTAGTGGCTTAAAAGTTATTGAGGGGCATGTGGGATGCCAACTTTGTCTTCCCTACTTAGAGTTAATTTTTCTAATTTTCTGTGTTTCTATAGTAGGACTTGGTTCAGATTTCCATAGCAGTGGAGGCTTAAAAAAATAGAAATATTGCATGCTTGTTGAAAATTGGCCCCCTCTTTAGAAGTAGTTTTTGCTTATAAATTTGGGCATATATATTTCCATAATTTTTCCTTTGTGTATGTGTCACATTCTTTTTATAAAAATGGGATCATTTACAGTTCTTGGACTGAAACTTGCTTTTCTCACTTAACAATAAATTATGGGCATTTGTTTATCTTAGTGTATATATCCCTCATCCTTTATTCCATTTGGATGTACTATTAGTTATTTAACTCTTGGTAGACATTTAGATGGGCTCTAATGTTTTGTTATAGTGAACAGCTGTGCACCTGTCTTTAAGTCTTGTGGGAGCCTTTTGCAAGGACAGAATTCCAGAAGTACAATTGTAGTGGGCCAAAAGGATTGAATCCTAAGCATTTAGTTCCAAATGCGCCTCCTCTACTATAGCCTCTTGAGGACAGGGACATACTATTTTATTTATTCTTGTACCTCCTACTTACTGGTATTGTGCCTGGAACATTTTAACTGCTCAATAAATGTTGTTGAATAATTGAATGAATAAGTGAATAAATGAGTAATAATGGAAAGTTTTGATGCTCAAAGAGGGGGACACATAAACATTTTTTGGGGTCACATAAACATTCTTTTTTTTTAAAGATTTTATTTATTTGACAGAGAGAGACACAGCGAGAGAGGGAACACAAGCAGAGGGAGTGGGAGAGGGAGAAGCAGCCTTCCCACTGAGCAGGGAGCCTGATGCAGGGCTGGATCCCAGGACCCTGGGACCATGACCTGAGCCAAAGGCAGACGCTTAACAACGGAGCCACCCAGGCGCCCCTCACATAAACATTCTTAATTTCATAATCAGCTTCCTTCTCTCCTCCATTGTTGTGAGTGACCTGATGTTTCCATGTGGACAAGGCATGGATATAGAGATCTTCCCGTATCCTAATGGCAGATACCTCTGTTGCTTAGAGCGGACACTGTAGCGGGATCTAAACATTTATTTTAGCACCTAATTCAGTGGCTACCTTCTGTTATGAGGCTGACATCTTCACCCACTATTGGCTGTGATTTCCGAAAAATACTTTTAAAATTTACTACCCGCTTGGTGGAATGGGAAGCATAGAATACTGTGTGCATAAGGCCCGTGGGGATCTGCAGATACACGTTTCAGTAGGGGATTGGATTTCCTTTTGTATTTGTGTTGCCCTCCTTACATCAGGGGAACATAAGCTCCTCCTAGCTTGACCTCCTTCTCCAGTCACTCGCCACCTTAATGCATCTTGCTTATCACTGCAAGATGGATTTTCCTAAAATCCTTCTCCTTTCCCAAATCTCTAATGGTCCCCATTTCATAAAAACTAACCCTCCTTAGACTCACATTCAGGGCCTCAGTAGTGTGATCTCAGTCTATCTTTTGGAACCAAATCTCTCATTGCTCACCTTCCTAACTACCCAGTTCAGATGAAGTGGTTGATTTCTCTCCAGACCCTCAATGCCTCTTGGGCTTTTCTGTCTCAGAATTCTTGACCATGCACTTCCTTTAGTATTGACAGGTTGTGTTCCTTTTTCTCCACCCGTCCAAATCTTTAAAGATTCATCCAAGTCCTTCCCTGGTGGGAAACGCAAACCTGCTCCAGGGGCCCATGTGGTCCTTCTCTTCTAAACTCTGTGGGACACTCTGTCCATCTCACTCCTTTCATCTCTTCACTGGTTTTGTGTCTTTGCCTGTACTTAATGTTTCATCTTCCGCAAATACAGTGTAAGTTCTGGAAGGGAGAGACGTGTCCTGTCCCAGGTCTGCATTCACAAAGCCCTTAGTAAGTTTCTGCCCCTTGCTTGGGTGGATTGGCATTCTGTTTCTCTGGAATCTAAGAAGAGAGCCAGACATGATGTCATGAGCACTGGGTGTTATATGCAACTGATGAATCACTGAACTCTACCTCTGAAACTAATAATACACTATACGTTATTTAATTGAATTTAAATAAAATAAAATAAAATAAAATAAAATAAAATGAGAGCCAGGCCATTATTTGTTTGTTGTTTTTGTTTTTAAATGCCAGTACAGTTAACAGACAATGTTATATTAGTTTCAGGTGTACAATATAGTGATTCAATACTTCCAGGCATCACCCAGTGCTCATCACAAGTGCCCTCCTTCATCCCCATCACCTACTTCACCCAGCCCCCCACCCACCTCCCCTCTGGGAACCATCAGTTTGTTCTCTATAGTCAAGAGTCTGTTTCTTGGCTTGCCTCTCTCTTTCTTCCTTCCTTCTTTTCTTTCCTTCCTTCCTTCCTTTTTTTACCTTTGCTTATTTGTTTTGTTTCTTAAATTCCACATATGAGTAAAATCACGTGGTATTTCTCTTTCTCTGACCGACTTATTTCACTTAACATTATACTCTCTGGCTCTATCCATGTTGTTGCAAATGGCAATATTTCATTCTTTTTGATGGCTGAATAATGTTCCAACACACACACACACACACTCTCTCTCTCTCTCTCTCTCTCTCTCTCTCTCTCTCTCCATCTTCTTTATCCATTCATCTATTGATGGATACTTGGGCTGCTTCCATAATTTGGATATTGTAAATAATGCTGCTATAAACACAGGGTTACATATATCCCTTTGAATTAGTGTTTTTGTATTTTTGGGGTAAATACCCAGTAGTGTGATTACTGGATTATAAGGTAGTTCTATTTTTTACTTTTTGAGGAACCTCCATACTGTTTTCCAGAGTGGCTGCACCAGTTTGCATTCCCACCAACAGTGCACGAGGATTCCTTTTTCTCCACATCCTCAGCGACACTTGTGGTTTCTTGTGGTGTTGATTTTAGCCATTCTGATAGGTGTGAGGTGATATCTCATTGTGGTTTTGATTTGCATTTCCTTGATGATCAGTGCTGTTGAGCATCTCTTCATGTGTCTATTGGCCATCTGTGTGTCTTCTTTGGAGAAATGTCTGTTCATGTCTTCTGCCCATTTTTTAATTGGATTATTGGGTTTTTTTTTTTAAAGATTTTATTTACTTATTTGAGAGAGAGAGAGAGTGAGAGAGAGCCCAAGAGGGGGTAGGGTCAGAGGGAGAAGCAGACTCCCTGCTGAGCAGGGAGCCCGACGTGGGACTCGATCCCGGGACTCCGGGATCATGACCTGAGCCAAAGGCAGTCGCTTAACCAACTGAGCCACCCAGGCATCCTGTAAGACATAACATTTTCTTTCTTTCTTCTTTCAGCCATACTTCCCATTGCCTCCAGCTGTTGCACTGAGGTTTCTCATCATGTCTCCCAAAGGCTTCTGGAGAGAGTGACTCTGTGCCGCATCCAGAGAGCTGACGGGGACTGTGACTTGGCTGCTGTCATGTGAGCACTCTTCCGCAGGGAGGGTCTAAACCTGTCCGGGGATCCTTTCTCAGCCCGTGTGCAGTAGGTTGGGCAGGCTTTGCCTGCTATGCAGCATACAAAGAATCATTCAAACAAGGGAGGGGAGAGTAAATATTCCACCTTCGTTCCGGCCCCAGGCTCCCCAGGATGAGCACACAGTGTCTCAGGACGGGCATGTCCAGAGCCCCACGCTGGCCTCTGCTGCCCCCACTGCAGTGTGGGATTCAGGATAAACACCTTCAGTCACTGGACAGTGTGTATGACTTTTCCAAGCAACACTAGGGACCTTCTGAGTGAGAAAACAAAACAAAAATGAAAACAGAAGGTGTCTCTGTTCTATTTTCTGGCTTTACCTGTAGCTTTTTCCAGGCAAGTTTATGGGTTGCTGTCATTTTTTACTCTCTGAATGCATCAAGAGTGTATACAAGGTTCAAAGAGAAATAGAGAGATGTCTGTACCTGTCACATGCAATCAAGCACAAATGCCCATATTTGCTCTTGATTCTGGGCTGTTGGCTCATGGTGAACCCTTTTCAAGCTTACCTCTGGCTCAGTTATTAAACACTTTAGATTTCTGCAATGGCTGGGTGGCTCAGTCGTTGAGCGTCTGCCTTCAGCTCAGGTCATGATCCCGGGGTCCTGGGATTGAGCCCCGCGTCAGGCTCCCCGCTCAATGGGGAGTCTGATTCTCCCTCTGCCCCTTCCCCAGCTCACGCTTTCTCTCAAATAAATAAATAAAATCTTAAAAAAAATAAAAACTTTAGATTTCTGTGTTCTTCATATCCCCATAGAAACTTTAAAGTCTGAAATGCATTGGAATGTAGCAAATCTGGATTCTGACAACTATACTGTGAGAAAAGCATAAATTATCTCCATGTCACACATGATAAAGCTGTGCCTGAGGAGTATATAGTTAACCTGATGACATACAGCTAGAGAATTGCAGAGATGGGCTATGAACCAGGTCTTGTCGTTCAGAACACCATATACTTCAAAGATCTCTCAAAAGTGATGGTGGGACCCATCATAAAATGCTCTCCCCAAACTTCATTTTATCTGGCACCTTCAAATCATAAGGACAGTGTATTAGGCACCTCTCTGGTGTGCTGGTTTTAACACCACTTATGGCTACAGGGGTTGCTAGTGAACCATTTGGTATCCCCTTCTTGGGGCTACAAATAAGCCTATTGCTTATGCCTGAGTTCCTGAGTCACTGAGAAGCCTCTTTATTTATTCAATGAATTCAACAAGTAGTTATTGATTAACGTTTCTGTACCAAGCATCATTCTATCCTCAGCTTGTGCTGGGAATGCTGCAGCAACCAAATGGACTCTGCCCTCCTAGAGTCTCCCGTGACTCTATTCAGCTGAGTCCTGCAGACCATTCTCTGAGATTTAAGATCGATTTTTCCTCCTTTCAGAGGGATCCATCTATTACCCAACTTTGAGAAACACTGCTCCAAGACAAGATTCTTAGAAGTTCAGAGGAAGAATTTGTAAGATGTCCACTGATAGATTTCCTTCAGGTCAGGGGGCTGTGAACTCCCTGAAATTAGTGGGTCTGAATGTATGAGCATTGTTTTCTGGGGAGAAGGTTCACAGATTTTATAAGATCCACAAAAAGATCGTAGATATGATACAGTTTAAAAATCACAGTTGGGAGGGGAGCACATGGGTGGCTCAGTCAGTTAAATGTCTAACTCTGGATTTTGGCTCAGGTTATGATCTCAGGGTCTTGAGATCAAGCCCCACGTCGACATGGAGCTTGGAGATTCTCTCTCTGCTCCCCCAATCCCCACTCGCGCTCTCTTTCTTAAAAAAAAAAATCACACTTGGGGTTAGATGTGCAGAGAAAGATAATTCTGACTCAAACTTTTAATGAGCATGAGTGTCTATATGGCAGGAGGGTAAGGATTGAGGACTCTCTGCTTCTCCTCAGTTCCTGTTACCACACTGGATCCACTGGCTTAGGTGGTTTACACTGGGAACCAGTGGTTCCTATAGCAATCCTGGGAGCACTTACTAATGAGGTACTTTCTGAGGGTTGCTTCAAGTTCCCAATTTCTTTGAGAAACTCTCTTAGCACATGGCCGAGATTCTAACAGTCTTTTATTTGATCTTAATAAATTAGTGTTGGTAATAGTTGGAGAGTAAAAATCCGTAGGCAGTTCATGGATAGATAGTACTCTGGAGAATTGGAAACATCTCGATGTTTGTGTCAGGTCTACCTACCTATCTTCCTGGCTACTCTCAGAAACACCAAATGCTCAACTGTCACTTCCGGCACACGTCACCTCAGACCATAGAAGCCTTCGAACTTGTGAGGGATCCCATGGGACTCCCAGGAAGGCATGGGGAAAGAAGGAGAGGAAGTTTCTCTCTGTATGTAAGAGTAAGAACAAATCCTGGGAATTAGCGGGGGATGCCATTGGTAACAGGATTTTCAGAAAAAAGGGTATAGGAAAAGAAATAAGTTCTCATTTTGATAAGGGAAAATATAAAAAAAACCCATGACTTTTCATTTTAAAAAGCACTTAATTTTAATTAAAGGGAAACCATGAAGTCAATCACTGGGATCTAAAAATAATTTATTCAAGTACAGATTTTTAGATACAGAAAACATTGCAAGTGTTGGAAATATAACTCCCCCAAAGCACGTATTATTAATCACAACTAACAGATATAAATGAGCTTATAGTGAACTCACTAGATTTCTTTCCTTTTCCTTTTCTGCTTAGAATAGGTCCTTTGTTTACACCCTATAGATGATCATTGAAATTTTTGTTCTCTGAGAGGGGAGTTTGCTTGTTTAAACCCTTCTACAGCGACTTCATTGAAGAGCTTCTGGTTATTTCTTAACATAAACACAGTGCAGAGTTGTTTATCTTGGGCAGAGGGCTGAGGTTTTTGAAGCACACAGATATCTGTTGGGAAGAAAACTTGGAGTTATTAAATAAAGTTATCTGAGCATTTTTTGAAAAGTGATTGTTGAGGGGCTGCTCTGCTTAGGGGAAGGGGTAAAGAAATCAGGTTCAGGGGACAATTACAGGTTTGATCTCTGGGGTAGGGCCACCCCTCTAGGTCCCTGGGACCATCTCTAGCTACTCTCTTTTGGGCAAAAGAATCAGGGGATCAGCCTTATGGTTTTCTCAGAGCCCAAACTCTCCTCCAAGAAATACACAACAGGCTGGGTCAGCGCCCAGCAGAATACTGTGGAGTCGGGGGTGGAGGAGGGAGTGTGGGGTAGGCCACCTCCTCGTCCAACATTACCTCATCTCTTTTTATCCTGATGATGAGTACACCGGGGGTACAAGTGCAGGTTTAAGCAGGCTTTAAACTTTAAGATTTGAAAACATCCTAGCATCTTGGATTTGGGAGCTGTGTTCTGGTAGCTGCTTTTCCCCCCTTGTATTACCTTGAGAGCTTGAGGCCCCCCGGAGCAGGCCTTTGCAAAGGGTCCTGCATGGTAGCTGTTTCCCATCTTCCCATGGCTCTCCACCCCCCTGGCCCTCTGTCCGCACTGCCCCCATCCAGGGCTCACCTTCAGCTCCAGTGCCAGTGTCCCTCCCTGAAGCTCCTCATTCCTCACGGACTGAGGGAGAGTCGAGGGCTAGTTCCCTCCTGTGAACCCTGTGGGCTTAACTGGATGTCAGTGGAGTCTTTCTCCGCTGGATGTCTGCTCAGATTCTTGCTGGCACCACAGGGAAAGGAAAGCGTTTTAGTCCTTTGGGAAGGATAGGAGCTTCAACTCTTTTCTTCCCCCACTGAGCACTACCTCCGGGTTCTCTCCTCTAGCAGCCAAAGGCAAAGCACCTGGCTGCAGGAGAGGGAGATTTCCTTTGGAGGACCTCTCAGTGTCAGACACTTAGTGAATGTATTGTCCTGCTATCAAGAAGCCTCACTTCTTTCAAATTAATATTCCCACATGCTGGCTTTATTTTGCTTAAGCTCATTGAGACCTTTCCCAGCTTTTCCCCTCATTTCAAGAGTCCCCATATTAGCAGATGATTCCTCTTGAGTCATCTAGAGAAGTGACGACCTACCCTCTGTCCCTCGGGGATCCCCCCCCAGTAACAGGGGCAGGGGCTCATTTGATTCAGACACAGAATATTGTCTATGTAGAGCCAGCAGGATCTGTGACATTTAATAAGAGCTGGATGGCACCTGGGGGCAAATTAAAAGTCACAATATCTTTTGTAACAAGAAATTCTTCCAGTTACTAGAAATTGTGAATGCTGCTTTATGGTTCTCTCACCCCAAGGTGAAAATTTAAAACATGAAAACACTTGAGAAGGGGTATGAATCTATAGTATATTAAAATCTTATCAAACACTGAGAACATTTTAGTTGATTCTTTCATTAAAAACAAAACCAGACTGTTTTTATTTTGAACAATTTTCACTTCATATCTATAACTACTGAATTCCTACTGTGAACAAGGCCTTTTTTCAAGACAATTCCAGACTATTCCTCCTTCAAAGAGAGGAGAACATCACACCCCAGGACAAGGGTAAGGTTTGAAACAAAAAGTCATACAAAAACAGCATAAGCTAAGTCTTAGAGGAGAGGTAATACTGAGAGACCCAAAGGGAAAGCAGGGCATTTAGCTGAGAGAATCTAGAAAAACTGCACGGAGATGTTTGAGGTGGGCTGTGAGGTGTGAGTTGATTTTGTTGGGTAAAGTTCTGGGTCAGGAAGACCATTGTTTTCCCTTGGTTTCTCTCGTTCCCCTCATTCCTGCCCTCCTCCTCCTTTTTTTTTATTTTATTTTATTTATTTATTTGACAGAAAAAGAGAGAGAGAGAGCACAAGTAGGCAGAGCGAGAGGGAGAAGCAAGGCTCCCTGCTGTGCAGGGAGCCCGATGCGGGACTCGATCCCAGGACCCTGGGACCATGACCTGAGCCGAAGGCAGATACTAAACCGACTGAGCCACCCAGGCACCCCTCTTCCTCCTCCTTTTAACGCTGCCACTGAGGAGCCACGGGCCACAGGGTAGTGAGGATTCAGCCTCGGGCTCCACGGCTTTAGGATCCAGTCTCGTGTCTCAAAGTGGGAACTGCCCCTGAGTCACTAAGTTTTTACTTCGACTTTCCATCAGTGACTTTGTTTATCTTCCCTCCTTGGCAGCCTTCACGTCAGGCGCAGAAGAATCTGTATCAGCCCGCACAGTCATGTTATTAAGCAGTGGATGAAAGAACAAGCAGCCAAGAAAAATGCTAAGGGCAACTTCTGCCACAAGAAGAAACACGCCGGTCAGAGGAAAAGTAAAGGGGCACATCAGGGGAAACCAGAAATCCACAGCCATAAAAGTTCTTATTAAAGTGTTTGCAAACGAACCTACACAGACAGTTCCTCAAATGGACTTGGCCACGGTTGCTTATAAATTTATCTCGTGAATGTTCCTTATTGGGAGTCAACAGGGCAAAACAAACTATACATCTTAAAGGAAAAATTATACAGGATACAAATGTAGCCAATAATATACTCATCTGAAAATGAAATGAAAAGATAGTTCTTCTCTTCATATCCTATTTTAAGAGCAGCATACAGATCTAATTTCTCCCAACTTTTTTTATGAAGGTTTGCAAACCTACAGAGAAGTTGAAAGATTGGCACAATGAACACTCGTATACCTTTCACATAGATTAATAATTGTTAATATTTTGCCACATATGTTTTCTCTCTCTTTTCTCTCTTTGCATGCATGTGTGTATAAAACATTTTATATATAAATACATATTTTTTTTGCTAAACCGTTTGACAATAAGTTGCAAATGTCGTGATACTTCTAACTTTTTTTTAGTGTTACAACTTGACATCCCCAAGAATAAAGACCTTTTGTATATAATCACACTATCAGCTTTATACCTAAATATATTTACCTAATATATTAGGTATATATATTAGGAATATATATATATTTAATTTTTAAATTAAATTTAATTTTAATTTAACTTTCCCCCAACTATTTCCAGAGTATAATTTTTGTATAGTTTTTTAATCAATCAAGGTTCACATATTGCAATTAATTCTTATATTTCTTTAATAACTTTTACTCTAAGAAAGTCCCCCCCTGCTTTTTTTCTTTTTGCTTTCTTTCCATGGCTCAAACTTTTTAAAAGAGAGTCTAGGGCAGAATCTGTTCCACATTCTGGGTTTGCCTGTTTCCTCATGACCACGTTCAGGTTTAACAGTTTCAATAAGAATGCTTTCTATGTGAATTTGTGTATTTCTTATTGCATTATCTAGAGTTTGTAAACATTGGAGTTGCTTTCTTTCCATGGCTCAAACTTTTTAAAAGAGAGTCTAGGGCAGAATCTGTTCCACATTCTGGATTTGCCTGTTTCCTCATGACCACGTTCAGGTTTAACAGTTTCAATAAGAATGCTTTCTATGTGAATTTGTGTATTTCTTATTGCATTATCTAGAGTTTGTAAACATTGGAGTTCATTTTCTACATAGAAAAGTTTTAGCTGTATATCATTTTAATATCACATCTTGTTTGAGTAACTACTGTTGTTGGATTGATAAACTCTGATGCTGAAAAAAAAAAGTCTGCTTTGCTCAGAGAGCCATCTGGCTCCCACAGTGAGTTTTTAGTGCACTAGGGAAGGATCCAGAGTTGGATGCCATGTGGGATTATCTTACACTCTCCTAACAAGGAGCCTACATCTCTTAACTCCTGGTCCATCTTTCCCACACCTTGTTGGTGGATCCTGTTGCATGGCTTGTCTTTTGGCCTCCTTGTGTGTCCACAGAAGCTTCCAGATGCAGAGTAAGATGGAGTTTTCACAAACAGCTGTCAGATGGCAGGAACACGGTGTCTATCTTGCCAGGTGTCAGGTGTCCTGTGCCTCCCTGATGACCAGTTCCAAGCAGCGGTGTTGCCAGGCTGACTTGGAGGTGGTCATGGGTCGCATGGAAGTGCTGAGCCCCATGTAGGTTAAAATGTCATCAAATGGCCTTTGTCCAATTCCCCTCATCGACACTAATTTAGCATGTGATTTGTTTATTCTCACCAACAATCCTGTGAGCTCTGTATATTTCTACTTTATGGATGAGGAAATCTGAAGCTCATAGAGGTAAAATGACTTGCCCATGCTCCCACAGGAAGTGGCAGAGACAAGCTTTGTATCCAGATCCCCAGACGCTCCCCAGTCCAGCAGCCCCAGCAGTGGGCCCTAAAAGGTGTGCAGGTGGAGGTGGGGCAGAGGGAGAGGAATTCAGATCAAAATCTGTGCACCTGGTGCTTCACAAAGGGCTAGGGGGAGCAGGCCGATGGTTCTACCGGGAAGTCTAGTACTGAAACCTGCAGCTACTGGCATCGAGGGTGCTGAGAGTGACAACAAGCACCTTCGCAGAGTAAAAGAGGCCCCGACCTGACTTTGCGCAATTTCACACTCCTAGGCAGTGTAACCTTTGTTTTGCAAAATCTCCCTCACCACGTTTTTCTTTTCGATGGAAAGACAGATTTTGTCAAAAAATAGGTCATTCTTCCACTTAAACCCATCATGCTTTTTAATATGATAATTCAGGCGAACCTAAGGAAAATGGTTCCTAAATGTCTTACCCTGTTCAGGCTGCTAGAAGAACATGCCAGAGGCTGGGGAGCTAGTAAACAACAAACATTTTTTCTCATGTTTCTGAGGCATCGGCAGATTGGGTGTCTGGTGGAAAGCGCTCTTGTGGGGTTGCAGACTGCTGACTTCTCCCTGTGTCCTTACAAGGTGGAAAGGACTCAGGGGGGCTCTCTGGAACTTCTTTTATCAGACACGAATCCCATTCCTGAGGGTTCCAGCCTCACGACTTCCCAAAGGCTACACTTACTAATACCATCCACCTCGGGGGCTGAGATTTCAACACATGGGTTTTAGCGGGGCACAAACATTCAGACTAGAGCACTAAATAGTCTTTCTTAATCTTGTAGTAATATCATCCAGGGTCATCAAATGACAGGTTTCAAATGCTGGAGAAAGCAGCATTAAATAAAAAAAATAATAATAAAGTAATAGGAGAGTAACTTGAAAACAAATCACAAGTTTCTAAATGAATCCTAATAATCAACATTACTGAAAAGTTAAGATACAATAAAAACATTGGTTAAGAGGTAAAATTTCCAGTTATAAAATTAAATAGTTATGGCGTTGGAAAGTACTGCATAGGAAATATAGTCAAGAAAAAATTTTTAAAAATTGGTCTCTAAGACTCTCAACGGAGAACTTGAATTGTTTTAAATTTTGTCTCTTTTTCCAGGGCAGATCCATAATTCTACACAATTTGGGGGCAGCCATAATGACAGTAGGTTTCTATGCTATATTTTTAAAATGAGATTTTACTGCAATGTAAGTGAAACTTTGTATGAGGACCTTGTACCTGGGCAAGCAGCTTCTTAAAGAAATTCTATTTTATAAGCTATCACACTTACTAAAACATTATTGTGTCATCAATACTGTTACTTTTCCTATACAAATAGATCATCGGGGTTAACCCCCTCAGGTTTTTTAAGGTTATATTTTTATAAAGCAACAAGTGAGTAGTAAAAAAAAAATCAGAAGTACAGTAGAATTTATCATTTAAAAACCTTCTCTCACTATATCCTTCCTATTCCCAGACCTACTGCTTGGATACAAGCTTTTTAAATCTCTTTAAAAGTCTTAGTTCTGGTGTTACAAGGGAAGAAAAGTTTTCCTTGATCCTCTTAGAGTCCCTAAATGGGTCTGAAAATTAAGCTGACAAAGGCATTAACAGAAGAAAAACATATACATTTATTTAATAAGTTTCATCTCGTATCTGAGGGTTTTATGACCTGTTTCAAGGAGAAAGATGGGGAGAAGGTCGGAGTGACCTTCTTGCTTGTCCCGTTTTCTTGAAGTCCTTCAGCTTAAAATATTCAATATGTCAAAATATTCAATATGTCAATATTCAATATTCAATATGCCACATTTGGGGGTAACCCATCAGTGGTTACTTCCATCATTTTAAATGAAATGCTGAAAGTATTTTTTATTTGTTTATCAATTTTAGGCAATGTCTACTGTCTCCTTACTACTCCCAACTTCCCTTACCTTCTCCCTCCCCATCTTGAGTTTTATTACTATTCTTTTTCTTTATCTTTGTAACTTTGAATAATATACCCACCGTATACCATCCATTAACCTATGGATTCTAGAATTTAAGTTTCCTCTGTATGTAAGATGCAGATAATACTCCAGATCATTTTCCTTCTGTCTTTTTTTATCTTCCATCTGTGTCACATCTGCAGTACTTTTACATTTACGTGGCTGAGGGTGATAACGATAATTCTGTAAAGGAGTAGGGGAGGGGGAGGGGGAGGGGGAGGAGGAAGAGAATGTTCCTTCACACTTTCTTTAAGGTGGGGTTTCTCAACCCTGACGCTACTGACATCTTGGGCTGGATATTTATTTTGGGTACTCTCTTATCCATTATAGGTGGATTAGCCGTTCTCCAGATGTTACCAAATGTTCCCTATGAGAGGAGAGCAAAATCACTACCTACCCCAGTTGAGAATTGCCGGTCTAGAATCTAAGGTAGATTCAAAAATTGAAAACCAATGTAGTTGGAAAAATTCTAAAGTTGACCCCCTCCACACATGCACCACACCAATGTCCTGCCCTGGTATACACATGCCTTCTCCCAAACACTAATCTGGGTGTTGCAGTGAAGGTAATTTTCAGATGTAATTAAGGTCACAAATCTGTTGACCTTAAGATAGGGAGATTATCGGCATGGTGGGACTTAATCACAGGAGTTCTCTAAGTCTGGGTCTAGAAGTCAGAGACAGGGTAGTCAAGAGAAATTCAAAACATAAGGATTCAACATGCCACTGCTAACTTTGAAGATGGAGGGGGGCAAGTGAAGGGGTTCAGGACGGCTCCTCCCAGCCCCACCCCCAATGTGCCACTTTGACATGTGGATTATTTTGACCTGAAGGCACTTGAGACCCTACGTGCCCAAGAGAAATTTTTGCCCCTCCCTTAACTATATAGAAGAATCTAAATTGGGGGTCTTTCCCAGAATAAGTGTTATTAACAGAGATAAATTTTATCTGTGTGACCCATCTGTATGGTAGGGCAAATATCTTAATTCCCAAACCTCGCTCTTCTTATCACCCTGTGAAATGTATACCTTTCTTCTGAAATCCCAGACACTTAACCCCTTCTCCTTAGTTCAGAATGACATATATACCTCATTTTGCCTGACTGTCTTTGGAATTTCCATGTCTATGTGGATTCCTCTTATGTACACTTATTAAATTTGATCTTCTCCTGCTAATCTGTCTCATGTTGATTTGATTCTTAG